TACTTTTTTTTTTTTTTTTCCATGATTGAATTTTTTGAAAAATGATGATTTTCGGAAAAGATGTGAAAATCGTGACAAGGTTTTAATTATCATGAGGTATTAAACCATATTTTAAATTTTTATTGTTAAAGTTTTTGTTGAAAAATTGTATGTTGATAGATTATTTATGCAAAAAAAATGCATGTTATTATATTTTTAATGCAAAACTGGATTTTTTTTATCTGTTGTTCATGGATTTTTTAGTTGGAATGACTGATGTTAGCTGGCTCTGTGAAGAATTGTTTTTATTATTAATTTTTTAATGCAAAAAATGTATGTTCTTGATAATTGAGTTGTAGCCATGTTTGGAGCTTGCATTTGGTATTATATTATCCTGAATGTTTGTAATTGATATGTACAAAAATATTATTGTCAATAAAGGTATTTTGCAATAACAAATAACAACAAATATGACTACATGAACTACCGCAACATATTATCACTACACATGGTGATTATTTTTCTTTTTGAACTGTCAGGTTAATTTTATACTTTTTACATCTTAAAACAGTTGAATCATGTCAAGATTTGCAGAAGACCTTGCATGGCAACATGGGGCAGACTTGATCCCAACAAGAAAGACAAAATTATTTGTAATTACTGTCAAAGAGTGATAAGTAATGGGGTACATAGGTTCAAGTAACACTTGGCAGGGGTTAAGGGAGAAGTTTCTACATGCACTAGTGTCCTTAGTAATGTAAAAAAACAGATGGCGTCAATTCTTAATGCTAACAAAGGTAAAAAAATTGCCAAACATAGGATGAATGAGGAGATAGCTAATTTATATACACCATCAAGCAGGAATGATACAGAAGAGCAATATAATAATGACCTAGAAGAGCAATATAATAATGAGCTGAACATGGCCACAAGATTGAGTTTACATGAACAATATCAGAGGGAACGTGGGTTTAGAATGCCCGGTGGGTTTAGCTCAGACATGCACGGTGGGCCTAGCTCAGATATGCATGGTGGGCCTAGTTCAAATATGCATGGTGGGCCTAGCTCAGATATGCATAACGGGCCCAGCTCGAGCATGTATGGCGGGCCCAGCTCAAATATGTATGGAGGGGTTGGTGGCAATATGTATCAAGGAGAATCAGTTGTTGAAGAAATTGTTTCTAGGTTACCTAAGAGTGTCAGTACTGTAGGCCATGGTCGTAAAGACTCATTTCTCTCAAAGCCTAAGTCACAACAAATGACCCTAGAAGGCATGATTAAAGGTACAAGAAACATATTATGAAGATATGTTGGTAAATGGTTCTACGATAAAGGGATTCCCTTTGATGTAACCAATAGCCCATATTTTCCACCTATGGTTAGTGCAATCCAAAGAGTCGGGCCCGGGGTAAAACCCCTGACGGCATATGAGCTCAGTGGGCCAATATTAGATGAAGAGGTGGAGGAAATTAAAAAGTGGATTGAAGAATATAAACAGAGTTGGCCAATGACAGGCATTACTCTCATGAGTGATGGTTGGTTGAATAAAATTAGCAAAAATGAGTTTTTAAACTTTTTGTTCTATTCCCCAAAAAGTACAGCTTTTTTGTCTAGCAAAGACGTATCAAGGACGAAGAAGGATGCAAAGTTCTATGTACGACTATATGATCAGATAGTAGAGGAAGTGGAAGATAAGCATGTAGTCCAGATTATTACGAACAATGCGCGTGCATGTGTTTCTGCGGGCAGTAAGTTGATGGATAAGAAGAAGCATCTAGTATGGACCCCGTGTGCTGTACACAGCATCGATCTTATGTTAGAGGAGATCGGTGAGATCAAAATTGTGAAGGAGACTCTAGAGGAAGCAAGGTTGGTGTCGAGATTTATATACAACCACTCTAAAATTTTATTTCTGTTTAGAGAACACTCTAAGAAAAAAGAGATAATCAAGCTTGCCATAACCCGCTTTGCGACCGATTACTTAGCTGTGGACTCTATTCGAGAATCTGAAGGTGCATTAAAGAGATTGTTTACTTGTGAAGAGTGGTTAAATGACCGCCTCTCGAACCGATATAAAAGTGGACAACATAATCTCAAATAGGCGGTTCTGGTCTCGATGTTCCAGTGTTTTAGAGGCCACTGCCCCTTTGATCACGGTGTTAAGAATGGTAGATGCTGACAAGAAAGCTACCATGGGTATCCTGTATGAAGGTATTGAGAGGGCGAAATCAGCTATTAGGGAAAAGTGTAATTTTGCTAGCAAAGTGATCGAGATTATAGAAAGGAGGTGGAACACCAAATTTAGACGTCCAATTCATTATGCTGGTAAATATATATTTATATCATTACAATGTTTCAGTTTAAATCATTTTTTTATGAAATTGTAAATGACATTTTTCTACCTATATATTTTTTAGATTACTACTTCAACCTAAAATTTTTCTATTTGACATCTGAACAACCCCACAAGATTATGGAAGGGGTCAGATATATTGTTGCAAGGTTGGAGAGAAGCCATCGAAACCAAGTAGCAACAATACAAGAAGTATTATTTAATGTTTGGATAAGAACTTCATTGAGTTGTTATATTTGTGAGGAACAATGCACTAAAACGTAATATATTTGTTTTAGCCTGCTATGTATAAGAATGTTACAAGATCCTTCGAAACTAGACTTGCCAAATATTCTCGAATTATAATGGATCTAGGTTATCCCCTCGTTAATATTTTGTTCATTCATATATTTAATCTTATGAATTGTTCTTACCCTTACAATGCTTTTTGCATTTTAATCCAGCTGAATGGTGAGAGATATATGATATTGATGCACCTCACCTAAAAAGGATATCAATCAAAGTACTCTCCCAGACATGTTCTATTACTGGCTGTGAACGCAACTGGAACACGTTCCAATGGTTGCACACTACTAGGAGGAATCGACTCGCTCCTGATAAGCTTCATAAACTAGTCTACGTTCATTATAATTTAAACCTCAAAAAACGACAAATAAGAAGAAAGCTTGAAGACTATAGGCCGATAGACTTAAACACAAAATTTGTCACAAACACAACAGACCAATAGGTAGTAGAAGAGGAGGAGCCAGTGTTGCACAAGAGAACGTTCCTTAAAGCTATCGATGATGAAGATCTTGAAAAAAGTGATGAGCAGCATAAAAAAGGAAGCAGTCAGCCAACGTATCCACAATTCGTCGGTGATCTTGCACCTAATGAGGGAGAGTGAAAAAGAGATCTAAGAGAAAATGAGAGAGATGATGATTATGAAGCCACCCTATCCCAGCCATATTATTCACATATCGAGTCCCAACAACAACAGTGTAAAGATGAACACAACAGTGCAGGTGAGCATGAAGGATGGACAAGCTTCGAGGATTTTAGACTGGGAACACTACAAAACACTAACACTCAGGGACTTGAGAATAATCAGACGCCTGCTAATATCGATGATTCGCTTTTAGATCGAATCAATGAATAGCAAAGCAGTATTGGAACGGGACTCGTCTGTTGGCTAGCCGGCTAGGTATCCCCTTTACCCAAGGCCCCTAGACACTGAGGATCCCTTGTGGTAGCCGCCAGCCATCACAGCTAGCTGCTCTTCCTTGAGCAGCTAGTCATCTCGCGTCCACTCACATCTGGCATATATGGGACTCCCTCTAGCTGCATTGAACCAGTTTACTAAGCAGCTCATCAAAAAGGGTGCAAAGGTTGGTTCCTCTGAGGCTGCCCTGCTTGCCAAGCTTGGAATGATGAATCCTAGATCGTAGCCAGGCCAAGAGCGAACTCTGATCAATATCTGTTCAGACCGGGTCCCACCCAGGCTTCCAGCTTTGCTTGTTGGTTCTTAAGTTTAGGATTCCCTCCGAAACCGCAGCGGCGGTCAAAGGCAAAGACCCGGTGGGGAAGGCGGCTAGGCCAAGCCAAGTTAGTAGCCAATTTCTCCCTCCCATCTAGTGGTCGTTGCTAGTGGTCGTCGGATTTGCCTTTCCACTCCCGGTACTGGCTGAGGCTAGTCCGAAAAGCAAGTTGGTGTTTAGGGTTTAGGGTCTGAACTCTTTGCCTTTTTTTTCTGTTTGTTGTCAAACGAATTCAATCAATGGCACCAACGTGACCAAGAAGAACGTCGTCTATCATTTTATTTTTAGATCGTATGTTACTAATTTTATGCTTTATTGTAGTCCATGTATGTTGATATACTTATTCCATGATAATTCTATGTTTATCCTTTTGTGTGAAGTAAATTAATTGCTGAATGATGGTTCATGCAGAGAAAGAACATATCAATATTCGCATATTCATTCAAAAACATGAAAATTCTTAATGAAATACCCTCATTTCTTATTGAATTCCTAAAAAACAATATTTATAATGAATTTTAATAATTTTTTCGAATTTTTTTGAAACAATATTCTGACCGATTCACTCGATTCCCGATCCGGATCGCCGATCCGAATCAGTTTTTTGGGTGCCCGATCCGAGTCACCGATCCGTTTTTTAAACCATTGATTTCAACCATTAGTGAGATTGGGGCAAGATCATTACAAATACAAGTACAAAAGGGCAAAAGAAAACGCTCCTAGTTGCTATACCACCTTCCCCTGACTTCAACTCAACTCATTCTTTTTGCAACCATGGTTACATGATATTTACAGTGGTGATCTATACTAAAGCACAAGGATATGAACCTGAAAACCAATGAAAAGTGGCTGCCAATTGTGGGCCAACTTGCAACTTATACAAGGGGAGTCATTACAAAAATTGTGGATTTGGTGTGTTGGCAGAATGCGGTTATAGACAAAGGAGGCCATAGAACACAAGAGGAATGAAGGCATTGTCAAGCTGTGTGGTGTAGGCCTCTAGCAAACCGCTCAACGTGACTGCCACAGCTAATGATAACCAATGCTGCATGCAATGAAATTATGATATATGTTAAGTATCAATGGACGTGAGAGAGAGAAGAGTAAGAGAGCGAGAGAGAGAGAGAGAGAGACAGACCTGGGAAAGTATATAGCCCTTCGAGGCTAGAAGAGGAAGGAGAACTGAGCAGGCAAATAGGACGGATGTTATGCCAGCAGCAGTACCTTCAACAGTTTTCTCTAGAGAACAGGAAATGTATGTCAATAGAGCAACAATAAACCTACCATGAGCCATAATATATTTCCTATCTACTGGGGTCACCTCAAATCAAGTCATTCTTAATGGAGACGATCTAGGGCAAGCTCTACTTACTGCCAGTCTTGCTCCACCGTAGAACCCCATATTTGTAACCAACCATCGACGCCTGAAAAGAAGATAGTTTTGTTGTACATAGTTAGTTTCGTTGTACATAATTCAATTCCAGGTTCATCCATTTTTCTAAGAAAGTATGTTAAGAGAACAGTCATTTGGGGAACAAATATCTGCGTGATAATTCAAAATCTGTTATTTGTCCAACACAAAAAGTATAACAATCTCCATATAACACTGGATGAATGTGTGTCAGTGAGGTCATGCATTACCATGGTGTCGCCTATTCCGAGACTCAAAATTCCAGCAAAAGGAACAAGGGGCCGATCGTAGAATCTAGCAGACATCCACTTTGGAAGTGCACAACCCAGTAGAAGTGAAAAATGGCTGAAAACCAGGAACATAAGATTCAGCAACCTATAATGTTTCATGTCATACTAATATGAGAACCTTGAATGGTCCCATGAATGGGGCAAGACACAAATATTCCCTTACCTAACTATAAGAATGTCCGAATCACGATGATCTGTAAAAGCATTCATGAACTGATCTACAAGATCTCCCAGTGGCCAAATCTTCCACACCTGCCTAAAGGAATGAGATTCAGACATATACAAATATATGTATTTTTCTTATAATTAATTTATACATATTAACAAATGCATTTATTATCCATCTTTGACAAATATATTTGATTTACAAATCAATGTATCAAAGATGAAAAACGAATCCAATGCAAATTTCCCATTATTTCCTCACATTCACAGTTTTAAATGCTAAATTAAGAAAGGAAATCCTACCTAGCTGTCAATCCCGATTCTCGACCCATTAAAGAGTGCAATAAGAGTAAATAATCAACAATTAACAGTTACAAAAATATTTGAAGAAATATTGCAATTTTTATTTTTCTTCTTTTTTTGGGCCACTCTTTGGGACCTACTGGCCTTGTGGTTTCTTAGTTGCCGACCTTCTGAACTATTTAGGAATAACGGAATTTATCAAGATGTCAAGCACAGATAATGCATGCCTTAAAAAGCTGTAGGTCAGTCCAATTAAATTATCAAGGCAGCGGAGAAGACAAAAAGGTATGCAAAGATTGAGGATACAACTCACAACTTCACATTAAATGTTCTACATATAAAATCTTAAAGTATACACACTATATTAATTGATACTTGATACATCCATTTCTTTAGCAACAGCACCAATCCATGTATATCACAGTGTCCTATAGGCAGATTGGAGTTAACATGATGCGTGATGGCAGCAGTAAATAAAACATGGGTGTAAAACTAGCCCCACTATAAATATATCGATTAAGCACGTATGATTGTACATTTTATTCATATGCAATTTTGTATTTATGTTGTTTTTTGGTACAACAACCCTAGGAGCCCCCAGTAATGGTATGAGGATCCTATTTTCTTGACATACACAGTATACAAAGCAAATAGAAGTGTCTAGGGATCCTCGTTGGAAAAAGAGGAAAAATTCCTAATTAGATAGACGAAAATGTTACAACTTTTCCCCCTAGTTCCAATTTACAATAGCGTTTCTCAAAGGGAATTTTAAGCAAGGTTTATACCAAAGGAAAAATGACTGAACCACTGATATTGTCTCATGAACATTAAGGAATGATGATCCATCCAATCATCAAGTAGCTTCAGGTCATTGGCTTGTACACTTGATGAAGACCCTAATATTGATTTTCCATAGGACAGAATGATCTTCCAATCTGCTAAATTGAATCAAAGAACATGGAGTTGGTGGTAATACTTGGCCAATCTGGGTTTATTCTCTGAAAGTAAAGGAACTGATCTATGCCTAATTCAATGAAGATATATCTTTCATTAGGTCTAGAATGAATAACAAATTCTGTTATAGTGACCCGGTTACTTTTATTAGCTCATCTTAAATGGACGATATTTCTCAAACTTTCAGTTTTTCATTGAGGTTCCATCTTGGCAGCTAAAATTCAATATTGTTCCTTGTTTTCTCCAATTAATGGAGTTTTTACATTGTTGGAGCAAGATTTGTCATTCTAAAGGTATCAAGGCAACTATCAGAATATTTTGTCTGAAAAATTCTGCATCATTTTCTCATATGTCCTGTTTGGATTGTATGCATGTCATGTTTTCTAGATCAGGCTGCCTGAATATTGGTTCTTTCTTTCATTAATCATTGATGTTCTCTTCAAAATAAATTTTCAAGAAAATTTATTCAGCTCCTAAGAGAATATGCAGTTCATTTGAACATATGAAATTTCATTTCAAATACCTAGGTCGCACCTATATGTTTTCTCTCACCTCACTACGTTCCATTCTTGCTACTACTCATCTTGATATACAGACTGACTAGTCCTCATATTACAATTTATTTCCTCATGGACCAGTGCCCAATAGTGCGTGGGTCATGAGATATCACTCCTTACATTATCGATGTATCACATCCACAATAAAAATAAGCAATGGGAAATAGCATGTTGTATCAATAAACGATACCTCAAGGTCCAGCTAAAAAAAGTAAGATCGATGAACACGAACTTACTCTAATCATCTCCAACACCAAGAAAACTGCAACTGCTCCACCAAATGCAAGATCCAGAAAATCTGGCTGCAAGAATCACAAGGGTACAAAATGAAACTTCATAGTAGAATATGGTAGATTAGTAAGTACAAATATACTAAGTACAAATATAATTACTGATAGTATGTAAATAGTGCAGATAAAGAGAATTTTTGTAAACTATGAATCACCTGAAAGATAAGAGCAGGAACAAACATTATGACAGCCACGAGATGATAGTATTTTCGGAGTAGAATCCTTTCAATTTTGCTGCTTTTTGATATATTGTAGAAGCGGAAGACAGAGAAACATATAACAATTAACCAATAAATGCACAGCATAAGCCGTTTTAGTGGCTCCGTGAAGATGAAGGAAAGAATCCTGTCCCAAAGATTGAACATAAAAGGTTTAGTTGCTAATGTACCTAAGTCCTGTTCAAAATGAATTTCATGAATTAAAAGAACAAGAATAATCAACAAAACAGTTATCCAAGCTAAAATAATTCCAAGGCAAAGATTTTTCATACTTCTTACCTAACAAAATAAACTTCAAGCAGTTGAAGTGCCCAATGATACAATAGGAAGATGATGGAACATTCAACAAGAATCCAGGCCCTAAGGGAAAATTTTCGTTTTTCTACACTGAATTACTTTGCAGGTCAAGCAGAGAGATGCTCTAATGCGCCTTTGCTGATAATATGGCTAAGATGTTGGAAGGGATGAAAGGCAATGGCTAACAGGTTTGAATTTTGGAAGTGAAAGCACACACAGCAAAGAATTGGCGACTGGGTTAGAACCATATTAGCCAAAACAAGTGGCAACAAAGGCATGTGGATGGATCAGATACCAGCTTCACAACTGATTGACACTAACTGATTGACACTAACTGATTGACACTAACTGCAATAAAATAAGTTTTAGTGGCAAACCTACCATGAAGCAGGATGCACTTCAAGAACATGAACATAGTGCAACCAGGCTGGAACTACTAGAATCAACATGATTCCCAGAGAAGCATAAAAGATAAGAGATCTTCCCATCCCTGCTGATGCCCTGCCCTCAAATGCATGAGTTTCAGACTTGATCAAAGCTCCGGAAGAAAACCAAATCCAAAGAACAGATTTGTAGAATAGAGGCAGGAGGAGAAGGCCAACAAGTACTCCCTGCATGGAAAATGAGGACTTTATGCTCTTCTCTTGTACAATCTAATAAAAATTTTGACAAAATGTACCTGAATTATGGTGCTTATCTTGCTTTTGTCATCTTCATGTCCAGAGGAGAACGATTTTGATGATAAAATGGATAAGTTGGCCTGGATAAGCGCACCAGTGTTCTGAAGTTTGGAATATCACTCACTTTGTACACAACAAAGAACTGAAACAAATGAGACTATGACACATACCCTAGATAGAGTGAAGGCAAACATATCTGCGAAGTAAAGCACAAGGCTGCCTGTAACCAGTAATGCCTCCCCTGAAAAGACAAAAGGGTTAGATAACTTTAAAAGGATGATGAAGGAAGACCTTTAGATTATTCAGCTAAAGGAAAGAAAATAACCACCGATAATAAAGAAGCAAATACACTTGATTTGGTAGTACAAGAAATACAAAAACCTGCACATATGGCCACAGTATGTCATGGGCTGCAAGAATAGTGTTGAAATCTATATGGTAATTATATGTGCCACTTTATATCCAGCACAAAATAGTTCCATTCATTAGTCTCTCTGTAGCCTTGAAATTGGATAGAGTCTTTTTACTTAAACTAGAAAGTTACATATTCATGCTACGAAATATATTGATTCCTTTTACATAGTTCTTTCAAATAATAGAATGGAACCAGCCAACCTGAGACCAGGAAATGGTCAAGCAACAAGTGATTACCTATTTTCTACCTAATTTATAATAAATTGGCTTCATTGAGAAATCATCATTAAGTATAACAAAAGTAAGTCATTTAAAATTATTCATAATCAACTTGGGGTTTCATTCTAGTTTAATACATTGCATTTGAACAGATGCAGTTTCTTCCTATGATTTAGGATTGATCCTACAAGAATGGGATAGCTCTGGGATTAAAAATTATGGGACAATAGAGTTTTGGGAGGTATCACCTTAAAATAAGGCTTAGAGTTGATGATTCCAAAGATGGTAAAATAAGGCTTAGAATTGATGGTTCCACAGATGGGGAAAATATAGCTAGGGTTGTTGGTTAGGGCTTAGGATAGTTGGGTCACTGTTATAATTGAATTGAGGGAGGTTAGAAAGTGTTTGTTGCTGAAAATTAGCAGTCCAATATCCAGTATGATTTTGGATCAATTTTGAGCAAAAACTATGGTGAATATGAAAGTAAGGTCCTGGATAAGGAAAGAACCAAGGTGAGATGGAGGGGATAAGGGATTTGATTTGGGATTTACTGACTGATTTGTAGAAGAGATACGAGGAAATGATGATGGATTGCTGCTCAGAAGAAAGAAGTAGAGGTTTGCCAGCACGTTGGAGGATAGATTAAGGGACAATAAGATGAGACCAAAAGCTAATCCAGGGATTGAGGGTGTACAGGTATGAGTCATCGGTTTTGAAAGTAGATGGTGAGCTTATTAGGCTTTTTCAAAGGGTTGTTTCAGTCATCGGTTTTGAAAGTAGATGGTGAGCTTATTAGGCTTTTTCAAAGGGTTGTTTCTGAGAGGATAAGTAGGGTGATGAACATAGTGTGGATGAGTATGGATGGGCATGGGATTCCAAGGATAACAAAATATAACATGATGGGATAAAAGAGAGGAATGTACCTGGAATTAGAGTTCTTTAATTTTGCTAAGCATCACGACGTAACAAGAAGAATTCATAGTTTCAACACCATCGAAGAGAAATCAGCAGCCCATGTGGAGTCCACATGACAATTTGAAACCAAAACATTCAATTTCATCAATGGATGGCCTTGCACCTACATCTTTGTTTATAGAGGAAGGAATCCTTACATCTTTCCTACATTCTATTTTAAGCAAAACGTACATGTTTCCTGTGCCAATCTATTCCAAAATCAAGGAACTACATCCTTTATAAGTCTATGAAACCAGCCCTATTACACAATTCGGAAGGTAATCCTCTAAACCATTTCTACCAACAATGAAACTAACTACAACTCACCGAAAAAAAGCATTCCTAACTAGTTAAAAACTGAACCCTAGTTATTTCTAAAATTCATAATAAAAATTGTCAGCTGCCTTTGAATAAAGATTTGAGGCTCGAAACATCTGAATTAGGAAAAAACCTGAGCGAGAGTAATCATAGATCTCAGAAAGACCTCCAATTTCAGATTTCAATCAACGTAAATGGACGGTGTGAAAACTTAGCCTCTGAAAAGTATTCTGCATCATCCAACCAATGAAAGATTTCCCAATCTGCCTATTCCTATGAACCTCAAGTTACTCGCGTAACAGTATCACAATTTGTTTTTTTATCAGTTGTAAGTTTGTAATCAATCATATTTAAAGAAGGAAGCTCCAAAACATACAAAAGCAAAAGTCAGGATTAATATTTTAGGTGTCAGAAAACAAGTGCCTCCACACATAAGAAAATTAACATTTCTTTTCTGGAAGACAACATGAAACATACCTATAGAAGCACATGATGGAAAAGACAGTAGAATCTGCTGAATTAGTTTCACTGATACCAATCCCTGGAACAGTATCCATAGCATCATTGTTGCCACATAAGAATCTACAAAGACAATGACGATATTATGCTCACACAAGTCAGGGAATCACTAATGTTTGTGTGTGTGTGTGTGTGTGTGTGTGAGCTAGAAAAGATACCTTACAGGAAAGTAAGCTGGCAGGTATTTAAAGATAATAAATGAAGTAGTTCAATTGTTGAATTGTAAGAATTAAAAACGTAGAAATTAAAGACTAACCACCATTCGCATTTGATGTAAGGGAAAGATAACAAAGGCCCACATATATGACTAAGAGGAGCATGCCAGCCCTTACATGGCGCATATTTCCCAGGCCAAAAGAAGTTCTACCGGAACTCAAGTTCCTTTGAAGTAAAGAAAGGAACATAAGCACACCAAGGCTGCTCACAGATGCTGCCCAATATTGCAGTTTCAAGATTCCATGCTCTGGAAAGGAGAAAGATAGAAACACGTCAAGACTGAAATAGCATATCTAAATTATGACAACATAAGCAATTTTCATATAAGTATTAAACAAATTTAGTACAATTAATCAAATTTGATTCAACCAAAAATACACAAAGCTAAGGGCAAAACATGGGACCAATGCTTAAATGAAATAAACAAACTGAATTATGCAGTGTTCTCCATTATGAAATAAAAAACATGAAACTCTTAATGTATACAAAAAAAAATTGTGAAACCCAAGTGTACTAAATCCATTAAATTCCAAGATTCAGATTATCTAAAATTAAAAGACTGCCGTGAGTTTTATTATCTGCAACTTGGCATCCTGGGTCCACTCCAAATGTTGCTTTAATCTTAAGATGGCGCACTCCATGCACCATAATGTGCATGGGAAAATTATGATTAGTATACTTTCTTATAAATAGTGAATCTTTATTTATAAATTAAATAATCTATAAGTTACCACACATTTGATTACAAACCATGATGCCCAATGTTTTTTCTAATGTGCCAAAGGACTCATAATCCAAGACCTGTGTGGTTTTAGGGTTTTAAGTTTTAACCCACATCCCATTTAGACTTGGATTTTGCCCCAGACCTCATGGGACTGGGTGCTTAATGTCAAAACTCAAAATCCTCTAAGTTCCAACTTTTTTATCCAAATCTTTGCACAAAATTTGTCTAAAAAAAAGAATTTTTTTTTTTTTGAGATAGAGAGAGACTTTCTAGAAACAAAAAGACAAGGAAAAAAGATGTACTTCTTTTCTCTCTATCCAATTCTCTCTCTCTCTCTCTCTCTCTCTCTCTCTCTCTCTCTCTCTCTCTCTCTCTCTCTCTCTCTACTCTACTCTACTACTACTACTACTACTACTATACGTACTCTACTACTCTACTCTACTACTACTACTTACTACTACTACGTACTACTTACTTAC